CTTCCACTGTAGACCTCCAAAACCAGCATCGGCACTTCGTTGACAGAAACAATGGAGGGCAGAGTCAAACCAACCACATATCCACATTGGCTTCTCATCTTTGTGGGTTTGCAAAACTTCTGTCGGACATGCAGAAAGAGACGGCATTCTCGAGGGTCAGACCACCCGTTTTGACAAAGTTCCATTTGAAATCAAAACTGCCCTTGAGAACCTTTACGGTCTTGTTGGGTTCAATCACATCTTTGATGGCCGGGCTTCCCATTGTTTGTGAAGCCAGGCTGACATTCACAAGCACATCTCGATGGGTTTGCCTCGCTATCTGACCAAGTGATCCAAGAAGTCCTCTGAAGCTGGATTTCTCGGCTTCAGTCAAAGGGGCATTCGGCTGGACATGCCAATCTTTTCGGAGAACCATGTAGTCGACGCTCTCGATGGCATCGACTTGATCCAAGGAAACTGAACCGCCGCTCTTCTGGAGCACATTCTTTCCGCAGAAGCAAAACTCACACCAACTTTTTTCATCAGGTAAATCTCCTTCTCCAACATCTCGAGGCTTTCTTGGTACTATTGTCCGGTGCCTGCGGAGTACAGGTCATCGACATGGCTCACTAGGATGCCGACCAAGGTTTCGCCGTCAAACAGGTGAAACAGCGCAGCTTCAAGTCGGGACATGACCCATCCAAGCTTCTTCAATTTTTCGCCACCAGCTCCTACCAGCACCACGTGTTCCATAGATACTTCCTTTGGCACGCAGAAGGTCAAATATTAGAAACACCAGGAGGAGGAGGTCTGGGTGGACGAAGCAAAAGGGGTCTTGCAATTCCTTGAGATTGGAAATATGCAGTGCTGGCATCATAGGCTTCGAAAATCCAGTTGAACAGGGCCGCAATGGCCGTCACAAAATTGAAAGCAAGGAGTGATGCCGTTGGTGAATCTGATCTGATTCCAACATCGTGCTCCTGACATCCAACCACAACCATGCACGACTAGGGGTGTTCCTTCTGGATCTGGGCATCGGTTTCGCCAGTTCGTTTCTTCATTGCTTGGGCCATGATGTTGATCACATCAGCATCAGGAGGTAGTTGGGAAACTTGATCATCGGTCAAAACTTCCACAGCGTTGAACTTCCGGAATATGCCCAGTCTTTGGCCATTGAAGCATCAATCTTGCACGATCTTCGACTGAAAGCTCTCGAAGATTGATCTCAGAACGAATGGCCTTTCCAGTCAGGAAGGCTTCAGTTGTGGGTTCTCTTCATTCCCAATGGAGCCATCTGAGGCTGACTCACCATCATCCGGCGGAGATGGTTCGCCAGACAAGTTCTGGAGTCTGTCAGGGTGATTTGATCTGCAAGATCTTTGCAACCATGGGGCCAATCGTTTTCAAAATAGGTCTCCCCAGGGCCCAGTGACATAGGACCCGGAGAAGACTTGAGGTTCGCCATGTTGTGATCTATTTCGTTGAGGTCCATAACCGGCACTCGTTCGAAGTCCATCCAGCCGGCCTGGAGATCTCATCGCATTTGCTAATGGCGTTGGTGGTCGCTGTGAAGTCATAGCAGGACTGGGCTCTGGCTCAACTTGAACTGGGGACATGGCAGATCCCTGTGGTGGCAATGGCAATTGTGATGCTGAAGATGATGAAATTGCACGGTTCATCAAAATCATCTTCTGGTACTGGAGGAAGTTCAGGCGCGGCGCCAGGTCGAGGACTGGTTGACCAGACGCAACTGGAGCGCTGCTCATGTTGTTGGCATCAGCCTTGATGAGGAAAATGGTTTCTCCAACCCATTCGGCAACAAGTTCACGCAATGGATCTTGGCGCCAGTTGTGCCCAATGGCGTCTGTCAAAACATGATCTCGCATCTCAGCACCATAAATGACTTTAGACCTTCTATAATCTTGCAGCTGGTCAAGTTGAACAGGGATGCCAGAATCTTCAGGAGGGAAAAGTTGGCGACGAGCCACGTTGCGCACTCGGATGACTTGACCATCAGCTTGGAAATCAGGCATGCCAAAATCGGGCGTGTTTCATGTTCTCACCCCCCAACACCTGAGACCCGGGGAGAAGCTGGCTCCTGACATCAGCATAATTGCGGGCTCCTCGCTCGCTGCCTTTCTCAACTGCAAAATGCGGCACATAGTCTGCAGCCAGACGTTCATCTTCGCTTGCAAAACCTACTTGCTCACCAGAAGCCAAAACCACGCTGGGGCCAATAGCCCTCTGATAGGGCCGCTCCGTCTGAGCAATGTCCTTCTGACTTTGCTGCTGGAATCCAAGGGTATCTGGGCTACGCGAGCTGCTTCACGTAGTGCAAGGCTCTTGGCCATGGCACTTTCAAGGTTTTCTGCAGCTTGAAGCACTTCTAGTTGTCCAAAAGACTGCCAGGGAGCCTGGTCTCAGGCTTCCAAGAACCCAACGACAGCGCCTGCGATGGCACCTTGAAGGCTGGAAACGTTGAACTTCGCCGTTCTGCCATGGGCTCTCAAGTGGAATCACTTGTTGCTCAACACCATATTCCTTCAGGTAGTTTCCTTTCCTCGATCAACTTGGAGTGAGCGCGGAACCCCAGCTCACGACGACCAAGCTGTGAGGAAGTGTCTGAGAACAATTCCAGAATCACGAGGGCCAGTGATCTCTCCGAGGCATGATACACCCTGGAAGGAAGTTGCATCGCAAATGATGTTGAGAAAAGCAAGGCTACGACCTCTGCTGTCACCGGCCGGGACATGGTTGTTGAACTGGCAGGCAGATGGCAATCGAACAGGTCGAGTCGAGGTCTCTTCTGCCTGATTGATTCGCAACATGCATCACAAGCATTCACAAGCCATAAGTCCAGCGGCTGTGATGACTTCAGGCTTTGCTCCTTGTCTTGTCTTGTGAGGATTCGTTGAAGTGACGGTCGTAGGATGATCAAAGTTCACATGGAGATTCCTCAGGAGCTTTCTGATCTCTAGGTCAATCTGGAGCCACTTGTGCCCTCGTTCGCCTTCTCCCTGATTCAAAATTGGTTCAAGCGCAGCTGCTTGCTCAGCACGGAAATCCGTGTCATCAAAAGGTGGTTGCTGATCTTGCGCAGATGCATCAGGCAATGAGGAACCTTGAGGCCGAAGGTAGACCGGAGGTGCTGATGAAGTTAAGGTTGCAACTCTCCCGTTTCTCCTTCGCTTGTTGAGTCATCCAATAAGTCCAGTGGACGGTCGAGCTCAAGATGACTCTGTGGGATATGTCTCATGGACATTGATGGCGATCTCTTCCTCCATCAAAGCCTGTTGTATGATGAGCTGGGATGGCCAAGCAGCGGCATGAGCAGTTCTTGGCCCAAGTTCATTCGCGCCTTCAAGTGGTTGGTGCTGGTGGTTGCCATCACACTTGCAATGCCCGAAAACGCTCTCAGCGGCAAGCAGTGAAGTGATGTAGAAGGAGGGCTTCTTGTGGGGAAGGCCAGAAACCTTGTCATGGTATCCAACCATGCAATCATGCAACCATCGACGACCAAGAAAAGCAGGGTGCCATCTTCAATCATCTTGCGCACATCAGCCTTAATGGCTTGAGGAGCCAAGATTTTGCTCGCTGGTCTCGGCTGAATGGAGGGTTCCGTGCACACCCCCAACGCCAATTGGGAATCCCTTGGCGACATTTGACTCAAGTGGCCACCAATGCCCTTGAAGAGCTGCTTCTTGTGTCTGTGAATCGGCTTCAGGTCAAACTCTGCCAACTTCTTTTCAAAAGCGGCGGCGCCACTGATCACCATGCATAGTCCGGATTCATCCAGTCAAGGATTGCTAATCCGGGAGGATCTTCTTCAGCTACTGCATATGCTTCGAGGCTTCGAGGTCTGTGTAGTAGTCCTCGATCTCCCCAGTCATCGTCAGATAATCCTGAACACATGATGGGATCATGCTGATTGGAACTTGAATGACCCGGCTGGTGATAAGGTCATTCGGTGAGAAAGCACGCTTCTTGCCAGAAGCTAGTGCAGCTGGTTGGCGCATGCCCGAAAGCTTGCACCACCATCACCACCACCACCAACAACAACAACAACCAACAACAACCAACAACAACCAACAACCAACAACCAACAACCAACAACCAACAACCAACAACCAACAACCAACAACCAACAACCAACAACCAACAACAACAACAACAACAACAAGAAGAAGAAGAAGAAGCGACAACAAGCAACAACAAGCAACATGAACAAGCAACATGAACAAGAACAAGAAGAAGAAGAAGAAGAAGAAAACAAAGAACGAAGAAGAAGAAGAAGAAGAAGAAAACAAAGAACGAAGAAGAAGAAGAAGAAGAATAAGAAGAAGAAGAAGAAGACCCGAAGCGCAAAACGCAACACCAACCATAAGCAGAAGCCGCAGAGAGCCATTGGACAACTTGCAACCGCAGCCACCAAGAGGAAGAGAAAGCAGAAGCCCCAGAGCGCCAAAAGACAAACGCCACAAGAAAAACGCCAATACAACCACCCAATGGCCCAAGGGAAGAAGACGTACACCCCAGGCGGGCAGAAACCCCAGAGCGCCAAAAGACAAGCACCAACCACAATCACCGAAAGAAAAAAAACACCCCAGCATGCAGAAGCCCCTGGGCATCAAAAGACAAACACCAACAGCAGCGACCAGCAACAAAGGACCAGTGCCAACCACAGCCACCAAGAGGAAGAGAAGCACAACAGAAGGGGCAGGACCACCAAAACTGCAAAACAAAAGGCGCCCCAGGAGGAGCAGAAGCTCCAAAGCGTCAAAAGACCAACCACAACCGGGGACAAACACCAACCGCTGCGCACAAAAGCCTGAAAGCGCAAAATGCAAAAACAGCGCGCAGCAAGCCAAGAGCAATCAAATGCTCGGCAGCAGCTAACGCGGCACTGTCACTCTTGCACCGGCGTGGGAGAGGGGATGGGGGGTGCTCGTCAGGAACAAACCCTTAGTGCCGCCCTCGGGGTCAACCCCATCCGATGAAATCAGATGGATCTTACAGAAATTATATGATGCAATCTGATGCGATGCAGTGCTGTTTAGTGTCTATTGTGCAAAATCACATGAAGGGAAGCCAAGCAAAGAGAAACAAGCGTATAACTATGCGAGTATGCAAACATGTAGGCATGTGGGTATGTACGTATGTAGGTATGAAAGTATGTACGTATGTCTTTGGTTAATCACGGTTAATCGGCAGATAGGTATGCAGCATGCAGGTGTGCAGGTGCGCATTTTTACATTTTACGTGGGCAGCTGTTTTTGCAAGAATTGCGTGCATGTATGCATCTGTGCATCGTTGTCTCTGTAACTATGCGTTTATTATCGTTTATTTATCTGCGCGTCTATCCGTGGCTCGATCTGCTCATCTTTGGGTCGACCTACCAATCTACATATCGATCGATCTGTGTATGTATGCATGTACACATGTGTGTGTGTGCGTATATTATGTGTGTGTGTGTGCTTGTATATGCGTATGCGTATGCGTATGTATGTGTGCGTATATATAGCGAGGAAGGAAGCAAGAAAGCATAAACATGTCCGGCTGCAAGTTTGCTTTACTACAACATACTACAACAAGGCGCCTGGTCTTTGTCCAAAATCGAATCGTCCATTCGCTGAACAGCTTTCACCTGCCACGCATGTATGCACAGAACATCCTGCAGTTGTTGTGTATATGTATGGTGGTACTTCTATTATTATAGCAAATATTCGCTTTAAATATATGCCACGCTGAGATCACATGGGGGCGGGGGTTTCAGCCTACACGCCTGCTTGGGACGAAATTCGACAGCACTACAGAAAAATATGTTTGCTTGCAAGGTAGTTATCACTAGCCTGCCGGGAATCTGTTCATCTAAACGCTTTGCAGATAAAATACAATGAAACCCTGCGGAGGGCATTACCTTTTCAGAACTCAACACGCTGCTTAAGATTGTGACGTCAGCCTTGAGCCACTTCGCTGTAGTTTTTTGAATGATGTGCATTCCACCTGACATTCCTGAATTGTCGCATCCCCAAAGGAACCCAATGTCTTGCATGCTGAGGATAGGAGGCGGAAGAAAATTCAAATCAACACGTGGCAGGATTTGAACACGGCCAGCTTTTCTGTCTATGTAGCTTGTGTTCATGTACATATGAGCATATGCATGCATAATAAGTGTATATAGGCAAGAACACGCACATGCCGTGTGTGCATTCCATTTGCTTGACATTAACTTGAAAGCAAGCAGAGGCGGACCACAGGTAGTATATGCGTAGGAGGAGAACGGATGGTTTTGGGGGACAGGGGGCATGACATGCAAAAGGAGGCCATGCTGCCTTTTGTCACTGGCGTGATGCCGCTAGCGGCCTTTGACCATCTACCCCGTGCCCCTGACATGCCTTGCATCTTTCGCTCGCGCTTGCATTCGAAATTTCATCTATGCGCGAATTCATCAGTTGTCAGCGCAAGGAAGTGGAAGGTGCGCCTCGCGCGCGACACAGACGCAATGGATACACGTGCCCAAGATGCAGCAAAGAGGTGGGAGAAATTCTTCCTCATGGCGCATGTTCAAATCGAACTATGAAGCGGGCCCTACTTGTGTGTGTGTGTCTTCCATGTTCATCTGGTGTTTCTTCTAGTTCAGCCTGCAAATCAGTACCATGACATTTATATTTCTACTGTCCAGCTCTATTTCTCTTCACTGAAGGGCCCAATAAGGATGTGAAAAGATCGCCTTGCGTGTCTTTTGCTGGACACAGGTGAACCGCCGGCACAAGCCGCGTGTTGACGAAGATCATGCAATTGTGTGCACACATGAAGCTGCACATGTTGCTTCGCAGTCTCGGAATGGTGTAGCTTAGATGCATGTAATTGAACTTGCGCAGGTGGCAAAGACAAGGGCTATAATTTCTCGACCTACCATTGTCCAACGCTCCGGGGCCAAGTCGAGGGGTAAACTTTAAACCCTTTTTTTTCAATGATCAACGGGCGCTATCTTCCAGCTATCTTCTCGCCAATGCAATCACATTCCTCCTGCACCTGCGGGGTCTTGCCTGTGCAGGCAGAGGCGCAGCGTCAGTTTCAAGCAGCCAAAGACAGAAGAAGTTGTCGAATGCGTGTGGGAGCGCCTGCGGCATCTGATTCAAACTTCTGCGCGGGCGTCCTTCAATGGCCCTTTCAGGTGGGTGCACCTGGTAAGCAATCATAACCTATCCGCCAAATAAATGCTAAGCGTCCGTGGCACGGCACCCCCGCATGCAAAATGATAATGCGGGTTTTGGCTAGGCTGGCCCTCACTACCCCCACAGATCGCGCTAAAGCACAGAGAACTCAACGTAGTGTGACTTGACAAGCATGCCACCTCAAAATCACCTCAAACGATGGCTAGACAAGGTGTAGTGCCTTGTCTGCCTGGGATGGGGGATTGTAGGGCTCACAATCATGGGATCCACGGGGGGTCGTGCGGGCTTGAGCTGAAGGCCACACTATCCAGGTTTTCCAAATCGCTGCTGCAGAAACCAGCCAAATGGTTGAAGCCATGAGCGGAAACCCTTACAGTAGGAAGGTGGGGCTAGGCCCACCCACATCGCAGTGAACCGCGTGAGATTGTTACAGCATGCAGGAAGCATTTCCCAACAAGACTTTGGCTCCAGCAGGTATCCCTTCGCTCGCCTTTTCTTCGTCCTGGTTTTCGAGAATTTCATAGAATTTCCATATCTGCTCCCTTCTTCTTTTTCATTTTTAAACCATTGTTCCAGCCGTTCTTCTTTCTGTTCCTCTTCCTCTTCCTCTTCTTCTTCTTCTTCCTCTTCCTCTTCCTCTTCTTCTTCTTCTTCTTCCTCTTCCTCTTCCTCTGCCTCCTCCTCCTCCTCTTCTTCTTCTTCTCAGATTCTCTTAAGCTACAGTCCTTCTTCTCAAATGTCTCTGAAGCTACAGTCAATCGTCCCACAATGATTCTTATGGATATGTTTTGGTTGCCAGAACTTGAACCATAGACACTTCAGGGAAAATTATCACAGAGTTGTGAGCGAAGAGAGAGTAACCACCATGCTTGAGTAGCTTTGCACGAAAAAAATCCCTCCTCCCTTTCCTCGTGTTCAAGCTTGAGTTCAATTCTCAGCCAGTTTTTTTAGGTAAATAGTGGGGGTTCAACAAGGTGCACCGCAGGCCCGCAGGCCCGCACAACCGCTACTGTAAAAAGAGGAAGACCCACAGCATCAAAGACACGGTGAGACTGTCACAGATCCAATCTTTGCGAATCATCGCAGCTCAACAAGATGGATCCACGGTTGTCTCAACTGGCGGAAGACGAGCAAGCATAATGCAAACCTGGCACTTTGCCACCATGTGCACACGGATTCATCATAGGCACATGTTTTTGCCTCTCTTTCTTTTTCCCCTCTTTTCCAGTCTGCAAACCTTTTCCTAGCCACTTAACTCTACACTGAGAAATGCTGAGCAGCTTGGCCTGTCGACGCCGAGATTCTTCAAAAACTCTGGCTCGCATGCGCCGTCGGCTGCCTCCTGAATGCGAGAGAAACACAGCACACCAGTAGGACAGAAACGTTCCAGCTTATTCTGCTTTCCTAGTATGATTCCTTGTCATGGTCTGAAACTCGCTTCGCTCCACATCCACCCACAGCAAGTTTGAGTGTCCTAGAGCTGCACTTCCAGAAGGCCCCGGTCGGAAAGACCTTGGAATGTGGTCCGCAGCAAAGAACGATTACATCATGCATTTGTGCCTTGGGTCTTGCTACCTTGGCGAGTAGCCCCTGAGTTTGCACAATGTGTCCATCGTTTAAACCACATGCACGGCATGTACAAGAACATGCGTGAAATTGCGTTATATGAATCTAGTCCAAGTTTTCTGCGTGAGCAGCGTTGGGTGTGTCACTTCTTGGGGACAAAAACACACACTCACGATGTGGAAGTCTGACTTTGCGATACATGCTGTCTCACTGCCTAGGGCGCTGGCCCTTCCGAAAAAAGCTGCTCAAACTCCTCCACTTGGAGTAGCATTCCGAAAGTCACGCAAGCGCTTCACACCCAAATGTCTGCGTAGTATATAGTGTTTGGGCAAGCCTGCACATCAAATCCGTCCATACCCTCGTGCTCAAGGACAGCCCAGACCTTGTCAGACAAAATTGATGTGTTTCATCATTCCCCACATTGACGTGTGGGGTTTTTGTTTTTAGTTCTGTATCCGCTCCGCCTTCTTCTTCCTCCGTCCTCCCGTCCCTCCTCCCTGTCACACACAGTCCACTCACTCACTCACTCACTCACTCACTCACTCTCACTCCCTCTCACTCACTCACTCACTCTCACTCACTCACCCACGCACTCACTCACTCACTCACTCACTCTCTCTCTCTCTCTCACTCTCGCTCAGACACACACACACACATCACACATCACACATCACTCACACACACACACATCACTCACTCCCTCCCTCCCTCCCTCACTCACTCACTCACTCACTCACTCTCACTCACTCTCTCGCACTCACTCTCTCTCACTCACTCTCTCTCACTCACTCACTCTCACTCACTCTCACTCACTCACTCACTCTCACTCACTCTCTCTCACTCACTCTCTCTCTCTCACTCACTCACTCTCACTCACTCTCACTCCACTCCTCACTATCATCCCACTCTCACTCTCTCAATCTCACTCACTCACTCACTCACTCACTCACTCACTGACTCGCTTTTGCGTGGCAGGCGCGGGGCTAGATAGATGATTAGTTAGATAACATCCGCATGTACATCACATATATCTTACACCCGGTACACATATCGTTAACACACTACCAAAGTGACACACCTGTACATGCACATACATACATACATACATACATACATACATACATACATACATACATACATACATACATACACGCAAACTCACCCACCATCACCCCTCCATCACTCTCATACTTCCTCTTCCCTTGTTGCTTTTCTATGCTCAGTCTAAGTCTGGTGAAGTTGTTAACATGTGGGGTTATCCGGTCCTATAATTTTCATCAAGGAAGATTCCAGAGACTCAGAGGTCCCTTGACGTGCTAAAATAATCTCAAATAATGAGCTACAAGTAGTACTGGAATAGCTACGGATTTGGTTGGCTGGGCGAAGCTGCTAATGATATGTTACAGGATAGCGATTTATATCGGTTATCAAAGCAACCTACTAGCTTCTCGCTCTCATGAACTTGAACGAGACCTACAACATGTTTGAAAATAGTTTAATATTAATATGTAGCTGGGTTGCGAGTTAGTTTACTGTATACACTATACATTATTCTCTGCAAAGGCTCTTTTTTAGCAATGAAAGTAATACACCACTCCAAACGCTGCGATTTGACAGCTGCAGGGGGCTCGCAGGATCCAAAAAAATGCTTCCGTCATGCTGTTGTGACTGCAACTCGTTGCTTGTTGCAGCTGAACACTGAGAATTGAATGTCATCAAGTAGTCTGCAATGTATTTTCTCCGGCAATTTCTTCACTTCTGCGTGTTTTCGCAATTGTTGTTCTTCGCTTCTAATTCTAAGAGTACTGATTCTTGTTGCGCTCTTCCCCACGGTGACTTGCAGTCGCATTTTGTTTCCTTCGTGGGGCTTTCTCCAACCATAAACAGAGTGGATCAACTCACGGAGCAACTGAGTCATATCGAGGCATTGGTACTAAGCCCAAGGTCTCAGCATTGGCTTGTGCTTGGACAAGCTCGTCATCCAGCCTAAGTTGCAGGTTGTGGGGAACGGGTGTTGGCAACCTTTCAAAGTGTTTCAACAAGTCAGGAGCCATTCCAAAAGGTCGCTATTGAAACATCATGAAACATCCACATCTCAAGCTGCACATTGCACATGATGGAGCTGCCAAACCAGGTAGGATACACAAACGAATTCCAGAATAGCTTTTTCATTGGCCTTTCCAGCCTTATTTCAACCTGAGCAATGCAACGGCTGAAAACTTTGAGAATAAAATCAACGTTGTCCTGTGAAAACCACCTCCCGCCTTGCGCGGCTGAGGGCCGTCTTTGCATTTTGCAGCAGCCTGCATGAGTCAAACGCCTGGCCTTTGAACGATGCTTGCTGTTTTCCAACAATATGATATACTATGTTCTTGCTTCTCTATGGCTCTTTATGTTCTTTTGCTTCAGAATGTTCCACACTATTTCACAAATCTCACGAAGTTCAATTCTCACAACCAATTCAGTCACAACTGCAGCTTTGCCTTGGCTAGAGTTTTAGGCGGCGCCTTGCGCAGCACGTTTCACACAATTGGAACTTGTGGCCGTTGTGGCCAGTATAAAGACAGCATGAAGAGTAAACAAGGGGATTGTCTGATGCTTTATGTTCAGTACAACAAATGTATATATAACCAAAATTTTATGCTTTGTTCAGCTGTGCTCTTTCTAATGTGGTTTCGTGTGGCCATGGCAACCCTAGTGTTTCGATATGTTTCGATGATGCAACGGATGGTGCAATGCTTGTGCCTTAGCTCGTCGACCACTGTAGCGTGAGGAAATGACCGCTCCAGTTACAGTAATACTTCATGACCTTACTTGTATTGTCAAATTATCACCCAAAACAAAACAACTACAAAATACTACGACAAAGTGAATGAAATTGACCATTTACACCTGTTTGCCTGCTTGCAGTTCCTTGTCTTTGTTTTCCTATTCTACTCTCTCTCTCTCTCTCTCTTTCAAATAAGGTCCAAGTGGAAACTCCTGCCCAAGTCGTGGCCAGCACGAAGCAAGCAGAACGACGATATTGAATTGAAACTAGGGGAAAGAAATCCCAAACCTCCTGAGGCAATTTGAGGTAAAGGTTTTCAACAGTGATACCAGCAAACATCTGTTGAAACAAAGTGCTCGTTGAGGAGCGATATCTGCGCCTTGGGGGGTGTCTTTCCTTTGCCATTTTTGCCACTTGGGCCACCTTTGCCACCTGTGGCTGTGTCCTGGTCTTTCTCTTGGCCTGTGGCACTTAGAACACAAAGAAGATCAAAGAAGAAATGGAATATAATTACACAATAATTACGCGCAAAGCATACCAAACCACCCCACACAAGGAATCATAAGGGCCCCAAGATGTGCAGCACTTTGATACACGGCCTAAAAATGACATGATGTTACTCACAAAGCACTCTGCTACTTTGCATCGGATTGGATTGCACTACACCTTTGATACATACCCACGTGCATACCAGCAAAATATGACGTGCATCAATTGCATCCATTCATTCATCCATTAATCCATCCAATGATCTGTCTCTCATGCGGTCTATTGGTAATGTATGACATGGCATAGCAGATGCCATAGCATTGAGATGCATGCATCACATTACACTGCACTACCATACATGCGGTAACATTAGACTATACTCTGTATTGTATATATATATTGTTTTGCAATAAAATACAATACGATACCATCAAACAAATACAAGGCAAGACAAGACAAGCCAATAAGGCCAATAAGATAAACATAGAATATGTAGCACTACGATACAAAACCGTACAATGCCAGAACCTAGAAAACAATAGAAGACACTTCAAGACAATCTGGACAATACCGTACCATACATTAAGACAAAATAAATGCACAGGTAGACAGGCCATGGTCATGGGAGAAGCAAATTGCAGAAAATCAATACAGATTAAACATGACTAAAAAATAGTTACAGTTGCAGTATGTTACAATATAATAAATATACTTGAAAATAGAAAATAGACAGAAAAGAGAATGTGTGATTCTGTGCATTCCGTGGGAACAGTACGTTGCCCATGTTGCGTTGCTGCAAGCAAGCACACGCGTAAAGTCACACATTCTGGGAAAAGCAAATGAGCACATGCGTCCACATACATACGTTGCAAAGAAGCGCCAACGAACCAGCGTCACAAGTCGTTGCCTTATATTGGCTTGCAAACTCATATCCGAGATGTCTCCATGCAACATTGTGTCATTACTTGACAGAACACCATGTTGCAGAACGCGCAATCTAAGGTGAGATGCCCGAGTTTCAACCAACAGTTGGCTCATTGATCTTGACTGTTAAACTGTTTGATTGGTTCGTTGATTGGTTCGACGATTGTTCGCTGGCTTAGGTAAGTATCCGCCGACCCCGGCTCATGCAAGGGGGAGCGCGTTAAAAATTACAGGTTTCTGTTTGCGCAGCAGCAACAACAACAACAACAACAACAACTGCTAGCAAACAGCAGCAGTAGCGATGGCAGCAGCAGCTGCTGCAATACAGCAGCAGGAACCGCAAGAACAGCAATCTAGCAGCAGGAACAGCAGGCAGCTGAACTCGCCTTGTTTTTCATAGGATCCAGAAGAAACGTCAAGCCCTGGGGCAGCGTGTTTTTGGAGGTTGTTCCGTCCTTCATTAGCATGGTGTTTCGGTGTGGCGAGGGGTACGTTTTGGAGGCCTGCAGGAGCAGCAGAGCAGCAGCAGCTGCAGCAGCAGGATCAGCACCAGCAGCAGCAGCAGCCGCCGCCGCCGCCGCCGCCGCGGCAGCTTTTTGGACGGAATTCGGGTCGCTCATATAAGCGCCTTCAAGAGCATGCCCCCCCCGTTTTGAAGGTACCTAAAATCGGAAAAACTTGCCGTTTACATTTTTCGGACGAAATTTTTGCTTTTCGAAACTTACAAAATGTCGTAAATTACAACATTTTTGCGTTTTAACGTCTTTTGCGGGAACCATGCAAAAAACACAGAAAATGCTATAAATGCCTATACATTTTAAACTAGAGATGCACAAAACACCACAAATACCATGGCTTTTGAACGCAAAGCAAAAAAACATTGTAAATTACAGCATTTGTGGCAAGTTGATTGCAAAAAATGCCAGTATTTACACAGTTGGTGGAATGTCAAGACAACGTGGAAAGCACGAAACACTGTAAATTGGCTATAGTTGAGGCTTGGTCCTGTCTGGTACATGAACTTCGCGGAATTTCGTGGAACTTCGGGCTGCGCAGGGTGGCACCCAGCCGGTACAAAAAAAATGGTTTTCAAGGTTTTGCGTATACATGCTCATCAGCCGTTCTTTGGACTTGGGATTTCAGGCTTTTACGTTCAAACCCTCATCAGCGCATTCTCGCAAATCCTCACCAACAGCGTGGACTTGATGAGTTCACGCGTTCGCGCTCAAGTTCTAATGAGAACACTTTGGCAAATCCCCCGCGAAATTTTGGACTTAAAATTTCAAGCATTTGCGCGCGCATCCTCATCAGCAGCACTTTAGACAAATGTTTTGGAGCCCAAGTCAACCGCTTGACCACCAAGTCGTTCTTTCTCCGTTCAAATTTGGACTTTGCGGCCGATGCGCTTCAAACCTAGACATGAAGCTGCCTGAGCGAACTTAAAACATGAAACAGGCAAGAACGACGGCAAGCAGCCGACGAATGAGAGCACAGTCACATATGGGATCCGACAGAACGTTGCAGATACCTCTTGTTCAGGACAAATGCATCCAAAACAATTGAAAACTTCCAGGTACCTTAGAAAACGGGTGGAATCAGCAAAATGAGCATGAAAACGGAAAAAACAACAAAAAAAGAAAATACAAAATATATAGCAAAAACTACGGTAAACAAGCTAAATTGCCCAAACCACACACTTGAACTTCGTGGAACTTCGTGGGGGCCTCAAAATCTATGAAAATCTCCTAAAAATACTTAGGTTTTGGGCCCTGGAACTTCGTGGAACATCGTGGAACTTCGTGGAACTTCGTGGGACTTCGTGCAACACACGTTTCCCATTAATCTTTCATGTTTTGGGCGTTTTTTGCCAAATCGCACCTTGATTCACTGGAATTCATTGTGCGGATGTGCGTTTTTGTTGATTTTCCTACCTTTGAACTATTTTTGCCAAATTGGAGCTTGGTTCGTTGGAATCCAACATGAAAAGATGTATTCCCAATGATTTTCAATGATTTTCATATTTTTCAGCGATCTCGAGCACATTGGAAACTGATTCAAGTGACTTCGCTGCAAAAATACATTTTCAATGATTCTCAAACCATTTTAGCAATGTTTATTTAATCCGAGCCTGATTCACAAAATTGTACTTGATCCGTGCACAGAGTCAGCCCTCGAGGCACCATCGCAGCAAAATTTGAAAAGACACAGATTCCTAGGATTACAGAAGGGCAGGTTGCCACATGAAGAACATAAATCAATGTTTTAAACCATGAATTTCGGACTATCGGAAAAAGGAAAGGGAAGGCATGCAACAACAAGACGCCAAGGCGCCTGCATTAGGAACTGCAGTGTCATGCTTACTTCCTGAAGAAAGCAGCAGCGCAATGTCCTCCCCACATATTCACCTTTCCCTTTCCGCAAAAAAAATCTGTGGGAGGGCGACTTTCCTTTCCCGCGATCTCACTATGGATACTGTCAAGGCGTCTGTGTGCCTGTGCGCATCAGTTCGTCAACAATGTGGCCTGCGAGAACAGAAATCGGCACCAAGCTTGCTCACCACCGCCCTCACATGTGTGATTGCGATGGCGCCCACATCATGCACGCAAAGCTGTCACAGCCACAAAATTGCCACAAACCAAGCCGAAAACGCAGCAAAAGAACCCAATCAGTCCAAGTGATCCGACCGAGCCCTGTGGCCCAGCAGGGCTGCGCGCAAGGACCGGGCCTCAACTTACCACGCCGTAAATAGCGGTGTTTTGGCCACTTTTGGACGCTGAAACGCTTGTATTTACGCAATTTTTTGCCCGTGACAGTACCAAACCCCTGCACGCTGCACAATTTTTTGCACTTGTTGAACATATTTTTGGCCTTGAATGCAAAAAAAAACGCTGGTATTTACGCGTTTTTCAAAAAATCGAAAATCGTGACGTGAGCGAAACCCTGAAAATAACAGTGGTTTGTCCACTTTCGGGGACTAAAACTGTGGTATTTACGCGGGTTCTTGCCATCTGACAGCGCAAAATGTTGTAAATTACAGCACTTTGTGCGCTCTTTATGTTCAATTTCTTAACGAGCGATGCTTTCACATGTTCTTGGCATTCTTCAACAAGAAACAACGTTACAGATTGAAACTAGACGACAGTGTGGCTCGAAAGAAAGCTGGAGGGTGGAGACGAGAAGATAGCACACAAGAAAATATGAAGATGAATGCGGCTGCTGGTGAAGGGCTTTTACACAGACGCGTTACACACAGAAGCTTTTACGCGCAGAAGCTTTTACACAGAGAAATCTTTACACGGAGGATCTTTTACGCACGGAAGTTTTTACACAGAGAAGTCTTTACACTATGGAGATTTTGCGCGCAAACGCGTTTACACAGAGGAGCTTCTACACACAGAAGCTTTTACACAGAGAAGTGATTACACAGAGAGCTTTTACACACAGACGCGTTTGCACACAGAAGCGTTTACACAGAGGAGCTTTTACACACAGAAGCTTTTACACAGAGAAGTGATTACACAGAGAGCTTTTACACACAGACACGTTTGCACACAGAAGCGTTTACACAGAGAAGCCTTTACACAGGAGCTTTTACACACAAGGGCGTTTACAAACAGAAGCTGTTACACACAGACGCTGTTACACAAAGACGTCTTTACGCAGAGAGCTCTAACCCACAGGCGCGTTTACAGACAGAAACTTTTACGCAAAGAAGTTTTACACACGGAAGCTTTCACACACAGAAGTTTTTACACAAAGAAGCCTGTACACAGAGAAGATTTTACACGCAGAAGCTTTTTCCCGAATGCGTAGCAAGGGTTCCCGTTTCAGCCTGGGGGTTGAGGGTGTGTTCGCTTGACGTTGCCCAACCGTCCGCAACCGTTCGCAAACGTTCGCGTGATGGCCGTATGGCCGTGTCTATGGTAAGTTCTGCAAAAGGGGTGACTTTTGGAGGTTTCACATGTGGCGTTGCTTTGTTTCGCGTGGCAGGCATGGCACTTCGTGACATTCAGACGCGTTTGGTAACGTGTCGAAAGTCGTTTTGTGTGGCAGGCGCAATACTTTTGCGACGTTTTCAGAAGATGCGTTGCAGTTTTCCTGGCAGGCGCAGCACTTTGGACGTGTCCATCGTCATTTTGCGTGGCAGGCGCGGCACTTGAGACGTGTCGCGTTGCGTGTTTTTTGCGAATCTTATTGTCAGGGCTGCGCCAAGTGGCGACAAGGTGCAAATCCCGTGGCAGGCGTGGCATTTTGTGAGATGTGCTGAAAATTGAGGGAAGCCTCGCACGAAACATCGATTTTGAGGTAGCAAATCTAGAGGTTCCTAAGAGAACGCGTAGGAAAACGTCGATTTTGAAGCTACAAAGTGTGAAAATTGAAGGAAGTCTCGCACGAAATGCTCGTCTTGATGCCCCCACGTGGCGCGGCACTTTGTGACATTCCAACCTGTTTGATAACGTGTCGAAAGTCATTTTGTGTGGCAGGTGCCATACTTTTGCGTCGTTTGCAGAAGATCCCGGTTGCAGTTGTCTTGGCAGGCGCAGCATTTTGGAGATCTCTGTCGTCATTTTACGTGGCAGGCGCAGCACTTTAGACGTGTCGCATTGCGTGCTCTACACTCCACGCTCCACACTCCGCACTCTACACTCCACACTTCACACTCCAAACTCCAGACTCTACACTTTACGCTCCACACTCCACACTCCACACACGACACTCCCCACTTCACACTCCACACTCTACACTTTACACTCCGCGCTCAACACTTTACACTCTACATTTTACACTCTACACTTTACACTCCACACTTCATACTCTACACTTTACACTTCACACTTTACACTCCACACTCCACACTTTACACTTTACACTTCACACTCCTCACTCCACACTTTACACTCCACACTCCACACTCCACACTTTACACTCCACACTCTACACTCATCTACATTCTACACTTTACACTCCACGCTCCACACTCTACACTTTCCACTCCACACTCTACACTTTACACTCCACACTTTACACTCCACACTCCGAACTCTACACTTCACACTCTACACTCCACACTCCAAACTTCACACTCCACACTGTCCACTTTACACTCCACACACTCTACACTGTACACTCCACACTTTGAACTGTACACTCCACACTCCACACTTTACACTCAATACTTTACACTTGACACTCCTCACTCCACACTCCGCACTTCACACTCCACACTTTACACTCTACACTCTACACTCCAGACTCCACACTCTACACTCCACACTTTACACTTCACACTCATCACTTTACACTCCACACTTTACACTTGACACTTTACACTCCACACTCTACACTCCGCACTCTACACTCGACACTCCCCACTTTACTCTTTACACTCCACACTTTACACTCCACACTCCATACTCTACACTTTACACTCCACACTCCACACTTTACACTTTACACTCCTCACTCCACACTTTACACTCCACACTTGACACTTCAGATTCCACACTCTACACTTTACACTCCACACTTTACACTTTATACACCACACTTGGAACTGTACACTCCACACTTTACACTCCGCACTTTACACTTTACACTCCTCACTCCTCACTCCACACTCCACACTCTACACTTTACACCCAACACTTTACACTTTACACTTCACACTCCACACTCCACACTCTACACTCCACACTCTACACTCCACACTCCACACTCTACACTTCACACTCCACACTTTACACTGTACACTCCGCACTTTACACTCTACACTTTACACTCTACACTCGACACTCCTCACTCTACACTCAACACTCCACTTCACACTCCAAACTCCAGACTCTACACTTTACACTCCACACTCCCCACACGACACTCCCCACTTTATACTTTACACTCCACACTCCACACTTTACACTCTACACTTTACACTCTACACTTTACACTCTAAACTTTACACTCTACACTCCACACTTTACACTTTACACTCCACACTCCACACTTTACACTCCACACTCCACACTTTACACTCCACACTTTACACTCCACACTCCACACTTTACACTTTACACTTCGCACTCCTCACTCCACACTTTACACTCCACACTCCACACTCCACACTTTACACTCCACACTCTACACTCTACACTTTACACTCCAAACTCCACACTCCACACTCTACACTTTCCACTCCACACTCCACACTCTACACTTTACACTCCACACTCCACTCTTTACACTTTACACTCTACACTTTACACTCTACACTTGACACTCCACACTCCACACTCCACACTTTACACTTTGCACTCCACACTCTACACTTAACAATACATCACATAACAATGCATCACATTACAACACATCACATTACAACACATAACACAAAACAATACACCACACAAAACAATACAACACAAAACAGTACATCACATTACAACACATCACATTACAACACATCACATTACAACACATCACACAAAACAATACGTCACACTAAACAATACATCACATAACAATACATCACACAATACAATACATCACATAATAATACATCACACGAAACAATACATCACATAACAATAACAACACATCACATAAAAATACATCACGTGGGGCTGGTTTTGGGGAGGAAGCCGGAGCAAAACCTTGTGTTTTGTCGTGTAAAGTGGCTGCAGCCGGCGATGAAAGGCAGCTCGTGTGTGTGTGTGCGCGCGCGGGTGTGTGTGTGTGGCGGGTGCGGGCTGGGCTCGGCGTAGTTCGCAGTGTAATTGCTGGTTCAATATGTTTTGCGTGTTTCTGCGCTTCGGAGTTACATGGTGCTTTGGAAGCCTTGGTTGCAAAACGCGTTGTAATGGCTGCATGAATGTTGCATGGGGTTTGTTTCGGGGAGGAAGCCGGAGCACGAAATGTATTTTTTCGTGTAAAGTGGCTGCAGCCGGCGATGAAAGGCACCTCGTGTGTGAGGCGGGTGCGGGCTGGGCTCGGCGTAGTTCGCAGTGTAATTGCTGGTTCGGTGTGTTTTGCGTGCTTCTGCGCTTCGCAGTTACATGGTGCTTTGGAAGCCTTGGTTGCAAAACGCGTTGTAATGGCTGCATGAATGTTGCATGGGGTTTGTTTCGGGGAGGAAGCCGGAGCACGAAATGTGTTTTTTCGTGTAAAGTGGCTGCAGCCGGCGATGAAAGGCACCTCGTGTGTGAGGCGGGTGCGGGCTGGTCTCGGCGTAGTTCGCAGTGTAATTGCTGGTTCGGTGTGTTTTGCGTGTTTCTGCGCTTCGCAGTTACATGGTGCTTTGGAAGCCTTGGTTGCAAAACGCGTTGTAATGGCTGCATGAATGTTGCATGGGGTTTGTTTCGGGGAGGAAGCCGGAGCACGAAATGTGTTTTTTCGTGTAAAGTGGCTGCAGCCGGCGATGAAAGGCACCTCGTGTGTGAGGCGGGTGCGGGCTGGGCTCGGCGTAGTTCGCAGTGTAATTGCTGGTTCGGTGTGTTTTGCGTGTTTCTGCGCTTCGCAGTTACATGGTGCTTTCGAAGCCTTGGTTGCAAAACGCGTTGTAATGGCTGCATGAATGTTGCATGGGGTTTGTTTCGGGGAGGAAGCCGGAGCACGAAATGTGTTTTTTCGTGTAAAGTGGCTGCAGCCGGCGATGAAAGGCACCTCGTGTGTGAGGCGGGTGCGGGCTGGGCTCGGCGTAGTTCGCAGTGTAATTGCTGGTTCGGTGTGTTTTGCGTGTTTCTGCGCTTCGCAGTTACATGGTGCTTTCGAAGCCTTGGCTGTAAAACGCATTGTAATGGCTGCATGAATGTCTACCAGCATACGACCGACAGCAGCCAGAGAATATTTCAGTCTTGGAATCAAACACATCATGAATCATCATACACTAAATCAACCACGATGACAGCAAGCAGGAAGTGGGACACATGCGTGGACCTCCTGACCTGGACCTCACAACACAATGACCAAATCCTTAACTTGATGCAACGATTCACATAATGACGACCGCCATACCCGCTTGTACAAGATCATACAAACATACATCCGCACAATGGTATTCCTGCAGAACTTTCGCTTCATTTTCTTTTTACATCATTGGGAAACAGTCAGCGTGAGAGTGATAAAGAGTGCAAAGAGGTATATATCAAGTCTGATTTCATGGCCCCTTTCCTCTTCTCCCTGCCTTTTGAAGTACCTTTCGAGGGGCCTTTACTCTTTCCTCCTTTTCCACAAAGACTTCCTGAAAACATCGGGCAAGCAGGTCCCTGTGTTTAAGGGCCAAAAGCACATCTATAATCACCTTTTGTCGGAAAACAAGATTTACAAACACAGCGAAGGTCCAAGGAGTAAAAACTCCCGGAAATCTAGAGAGCTGATATTTGAAGAGAACTGCTGCCAGTTTTGCAGTGTTTAGAAACGCAGCCAGCCAGTTGAACATATTCCGCATTCAACGAAAGACTGGAGAACATCCTTGGTCAAGCTTTTGCTCGTCTGCCTCGCAGGTCACGTTGTACGAATATTACATCCAAACAAATCCAGACAAGCAATATGTTCGCAATATTGCAGTACACCCCAAAAAAACATCCAAAAGATGGAAAAGCGATATACAATGACAACAATTTCGGTATATACAGTAATTTTTTTCGTGTTGGGGGTGCGCCAAAGACATAAAGGAACGCTGAAGATCCCAAACAAACCTGGCTCCGATACACATGCCATGGGGCGCCATGTCTGCACCTCAACGACATTCTTGGGCTCACGTGGCTCACGTGTAGAGACTTCCTGGTCCTCATTCTTTCTGTCCTCGAGCAAGCGCACGAGACTCCCTGTCGCCGAAGATATGATCACACGTCAAATATTGTGAAACCGAGGGCATCTGCTTAGATCATTCCAATATATTGCAATCAATCATTCACATTGCCATACTCAGCCCGATTTGACAAATACAAAGCACGAACTCGCTGCCATCCTCAGTCAGCTCTTTCTCCTCCCGGTGTCTTGTCCAGAGTCCAGATCCACATGATTCCACGTGCAACTATTTTGTGAAAGCTTTGTCAAGACAACACAGGCCAAACTTTCAGTAATTACCAGCTCAACCTCCGATACTGCATTTCTTTCCGCAAGGCAGTGACCCTCAAAGGGCCTGGGTGCTGCAGCGCTGGGCCAACAAAGCCTCAAGTATTGCCTCACAGTTACTCAACGATACTCAACGCTTATGAACTCTGGATCACTCTGGCACTGTACTCCTTTGCTGAATCATGGCAGAAAAAGGATTGACAAAGGTTGGCACGACTCGTCGCTTCAAGGCTTCTGTGACCTCTTGAAAAAGTCTCAAATCAAAACATGATCAAACATATCAATATGTGTTTTTGAATTGGACGTTGCTGCAGTATCATGCGGTATCCCTGTGGACTTGACTGCAACTGCAAAGGATTGCCTGCGTTTCACTCAGGTCTTCTTGTTCCGCTTGTCCTTTTATGTTCCAATAAATACATGACCAAGCCAAACCCACAGCAGCAAAAACCTTGCATCGAGACATGACGTTTCAACAATTAAGAAGCAAAAACCACAGAAACCGCCCACCTCCTTCTACTATTCTCCTGCCAATTGAAATGCTTCTGGAGCCCTGAAGAAGCCGGCTACTTTCACTGGCATGGCCCATTCGAAGTTCATTGGTTCCAGCTGCTCCAGTATCAGCAGTCCCTTCGTTTAGGGTCATGGTAGAAGCGTGCCCAACACCACCTGCATCAAGTGTTGGACTGCTTCTGGAGCCCTGAAGAAGCTCACCATTTTTACTGGCACGACCCATTCGAAGTTCATGGATTCCAGCTGCTCCAGTATCAGCGGATCCTTCGTTTAGGCCCATGGTAGAAGCATGCCCAACACCACCTCCATCAAGCATTGGAGTGCTTCTGGAGCCCTGAAGAAGCCGGCTACTTTCAGTGGCACGACCCAATCGAAGTTCATTGGTTCCAACTGCTCCACTATCAGCAGTCCCTTCGTTTAGGCCCATGGTAGAAGCGTGCCCAACACCACCTCCATCAAGCATTGGAGTGCTTTTGGAGCCCTGAACAACCTCACTGCTTTCACTGGCATGACCCACTCGAAGTTCATGGATTCCAGCTGCTCCAGTATCAGCGTATCCTCCGTTTTGGCTCATGGTAGAAGCGTGCCCAACAACACCTCTCTCAAGCATTGAAGTGCCCTGAAGAAGCCGGCTACTTTCACAGGCATGACCCAATCGAAGTTCATCGTTTAGGCCCATGGTAGAAGCGTGCCCAGCACCACCTCCATCATGCATTCGAATGCTTCTGGAGCCCTGAAGAAGCCGGCCACTTTCACTGGCATGACCCATTCGAAGTTCATGGATTCCAGCTGCTCCACTATCAGCAGTCCCTTCATTTAGGGTCATGGTAGAAGCGTGCCCAACACCACCTGCATCAAGTGTTGGAGTGCTTCTGGAGCCCTGAAGAAGCTCACTGCTTTCACTGGCATGACCCATTCGAAGTTCATGGATTCCAGCTGCTCCAGTATCAGCGGATCCTTCGTTTAGGCCCATGGTAGAAGCATGCCCAACACCACCTCCATCAAGCATTGGAGTGCTTCTGGAGCCCTGAAGAAGCCGGCTACTTTCACAGGCATGACCCATTCGAAGTTCATTGGTTCCAGCTGCAGAAGTATCAGCAGTCCCTTCGTTTAGGCACATGGTAAAAGCAACACCACCTCCATCAAGCATTGGATTGCGTCTGGAGCCCAGAGGAAGCTGGCTACTTTCACTGGTATGACACATTCGAAATTCATTTGTTCCAGCTGCTCCAGTATCAGCGGATCCTTCGTTTTGGCCCATGGTAGAAGCGTGCCCAACACCACCTCCATCAAGCATTGGAGTGCTTCTGGAGCCCTGAAGAAGCCGGCTACTTTCAGTGGCATGACCCAATCGAAGTTCATTGGTTCCAACTGCTCCAGTATCAGCAGTCCCTTCGTTTAGGCCCATGGTAGAAGCGTGCCCAACACCACCACCATCAAGCATTGGAGTGCTTTTGGTGCGCTGAAGAAGCTGGCTACTTTCAATTGCATGACCCAAACGAACTTCAATGTTTCCAGCAGCGCCAGTATCAGCATCCCCTTCGCTTGGGCGTATTGCAGAACTATGCCTCCCACCTTTTCCATCAAGCATAGAAACGCCTTGGGTTCTTGGGCTTTTTCGAACGAGTCCTTTGTTTGCAAGTTCAAGTGCGTCTGAGTTTGCCTGGGCAAGTGCGTTAACAGCCAACTGAATTTGATCGATGCCAGCAGCTGCACCAGTTTCTCCAGTTCCACCAGCTCCACCTGCAATGTGAAATAGTTCGAAACCACCGAACTTGTGATGTGAGCGGAAGAGATTGGAAAACACAAACCATGACTGATGATGGCATTGTGGCAGTTGACCAACAAAGGTTGGAATTTAAAGCAAACTTCAGGTACTCTTGTCTGGAGTGTTCGCAGCAGATCGTACAAAAGGGTGCATTGGCAAACCAGACAAGTCGAAAATACTATGAAACCTAGGTCCCACAAACTGCCTGGTGCTCCAACAGAACAATGCACGCAATCATTCTGCAAAGAGGAGGAACCTTGGAAATCAACTCACATCTGGCTGACGGTTTAGCCTGACAATAGAAGCCTTGCAAAACCTGGCCGAATGTCTAGAAAATACAAGACATATCTACAAGTACAGTGTCAATGTAACGAGATGCTCACCAACTGCACAAGTATCTACAAGGCTTTCAGTGACTTCTCGGGATACTGCTTCCCTCTTTGCTTTGTTTGCCGAGGCTTTCAGGCAGAAAATCTTGGCTTTTCTTCTCAGAGGGCAGCCAAGCCTCCCACCAAAACAATCTCTAAAGATGTCATTTGTTGACCTATAGAGCTTTCTGTGCAATCTCTTGACGTGAGCTCTTCCTTCGCACTCAGTGGGGCTTGACGCATTTGTAACTTGAAACAGTCACAACGCTTCACTCTTGGACGCCTCAACAATCGTGGTCTGCTCCTGAAGACTCTCCCTCCTGGTGAGACTGCAAAGATCATATCGCCCAACTTGGGACTGTGTCAGACTGCGTGTCATGATTCTGCCAATTCTGCCACTGTTTGATTTGATGCCAAGTTGATGGTCAGAGGTGTCGACCATATCGATCATGCATCAAAAATCAAAGTGGGAGCAAATGCTCCAGGTTTCGGCACGCAAAGACTTAAAGACAACCGAATTGTTTTTGCATGCGTGCATTGTATGCATAGGCATATTCTACCAGTAGTACCGCACACGGCGGTGGCGGAAGTTTCAATAATAGGAAACCTGTAGGAGAGATTGGTTGTTGTGAACCACGGATGGCAGAGCGAATCCACTGATGGACTGAAAGGTGGTTGGAGCTGTGTTTTTGGAGTGGTTGCAATGGTTGCAGTGGTCACCTTACCACAACTGCTGGATGTAGTGTGGTGTGGTGCAGTTGCAGTTGTGGCTGTAGTTGTCGTGTAGTGTAGCGGAGCTGTAGCTGTAATGTAGTGTAATTAATTTATTGGCAAGTGCAGTTGCAGTTGTAGTCGTGGTGTGGTGTAATTAGTGTCGTGTAGTGCAGTGTAATGTCGCGTAGCGTTGTGTAGTGTAGTGTGGTATAGTGTAGCTTAGTCTAGTGTAACGTAGTGTAGTTGTAGTTGCAGCGTAGAGCAGTGCAATTAGTGTAGTGTCGTGTCGTGTCTTGTAGTGTAGTGTAGTATGTGTAGTGTAGTGTAGTGTAGTGTAGTGTAGTGTAGTGTAGTGTAGTGTAGTGTAGTGTAGTGTAGTGTAGTGTAGTGTAGTGTTGTGTAGTGTGTGTAGTGTAGTGTAGTGTAGTGTAGTGTAGTGTAGTGTAGTGTAGTGTAGTGTAGTGTAGTGTAGTGTAGTGGAATGGAATGGAATGGAATGGAATGGAATGGAATGGAATGGAATGGAATGTGATGTAGTGTAATGTAATGTAATGTAATGTAATGTAATGTAGTGGTAGTTGTGATTGTAGTTGCAGTTGCAGCTGCAACTGTAGATGTAGTTGTAGTTGTAGTGTAATGCAATGTAATCAGTGTAGTGTAGTGCTGTGTAACGTAGTGTGGTTGCAGTTGTAGTTGCATTTGTAGTTGTAGCGTGCTGCAGTGTAATTAGTGTAGTGCAGTTGTAATTGTAGTTGTAGTTGTGGTAGCAGTTGCTGTTGCAGTTGTTAGTGTAATTCGTGTAGTGTGGTGTAATTAGATGTAATTAGTGTAATGTAGTGTAATTAGTTTAGCGCAATGTAGCGTAGTATATTTGCATTTGCAGCTGTAGTAGTAGTGTAGTGTAGTGGTAGTTGTAGTTGTACCTGTCTATCTATCTATCTACCTATCTATCTAATCTATCTAATCTATCTAATCTACCTCTCTATCTCTCTATCTCTCTACCTCTCTATCTATCTATCTACCTACCTACCTATCTATCTATCTACCTATCTATCTATCTATCGATCTATCTATCTACCTATCTATCTATCTATCGATCTATCTATCTATCTATTTATCTATCTATCTATCTATCTATCGTTCTATCTATCTATCTATCTATCCATCTATCTATCTGACTATCTGACTATCTATCTATCAAACTATCTATCTATCTGTCTATCCATCCATCCATCCATCCATCTATCTATCTATCTATATCTGCAAGCTTGAAAACGCTGCTATTTTGCGACACTTCCTCAATTTTTGAACTTGAAAACGCCAAAAACGAAACAATTCTGCGAGACTTCCTCAAAATTTTGAACTTGACAACATCAAAAAACGAAGCAATGCTGCGAGACTTCCTCAATTTTCGAAGTTGGCAACGTCAAAAACGAAACAATTCTGCCACACTTCCTTCAAAAATGGAAAGTTGAGTGCAGAGCTGATGGCCTCGTACCAATGCGTTTTGCGATGTTTCCACTCCACCTGTCTAAAGTACTGCGCCTGCCAGGAAAAAGTGATGCCAGGTCATACGAAGTGCTGCACCTGTCCCGCAAAATCATCTTTCCAAAACTGCAGATCTGATGCTTCAAAATGCAACCCGTCTCAGGAAATCAGCACCCTCACCTCCTAACATCTCTGATGAACATGTCTCTTGTACTGCGCCTGCCACGGAAAATGTATCTTTGCAGATCCTCTTCAACTGTCCCACGCCTGCCATCCGTTTTGGAAATGCTACAAAACCCTCAGGTTTTGCTCACTTTTGACAAGGTGCACAATCCCTTGCGCCTGCCACGCAAAACGACGCTTCAACGTCCAAAAGTGGCGCGAGCATGTGGCGTTTTGTACCTTTTGACTTCGAAATATGCTTTGCGCCACAGCGGCGTGCACTTTTTCGACATCGCAACGTCCAAAAGTGCTTTGAACCCATCAGTAATGTCCTTCGCGCCACAACGGCGTGCAATTTTCATCTCTCATCTGGCCAGCTGGCTCCGCACCCGCCGCCTTAGGGAGCCTACTTTTCGACCCTCCGGAGCCACAAATCATTTGAAAAACACAGGGCTTCGCGACTTTCCTACCTTTTCGCGCACCTGTATCTTCTTTCTTCTCACCCTTTCTCTTTTTGATCTTCTTTCTTCTTCTCTTCTCTTCTCTGACTCTTCCCATCTCTGCTTTTCATCTGTCCATATTGTCGGAAGTTTGACTTCTAAACTTCCTTCGATCATATTTTACATACACTTCCATAAATGCGTATGCAATTATACATTGGACTCTCTGTCCGCGAGCTTCACAAGCCAGGACAGGCCTGAAAGCCTGAAACTATTATCAAACAGGCACAATCTCCTGCATTCCTGTGCTTGGCCTGCAAGTGCAGCTGAGTCAGTGATTGTTGCGATTCAATGGGCTGAGAAGAAGACTCAATCTGAGCTTGGATCTTTGAGTATCGTACCGTGATTCTGCCAATGCTGATGTCTGTTCCTCTAAATATCTCACGCTGCACTCTCAGGAATTCGCTGAAGAATGAAAAGCAAAGTTATGAGATGCAGAATAAATTGAAGCCGGAAGAAAAATCAGCCAAATCAGCCTCGCTGATGAAGCTTAGCAAAGAAAAAATATGTGAGGCAACACTAATGTGCACAAGCAATGGCGCAGTCCTGATAGTCTCAACAATGTTTTCCCGGGGCTTCCCATCTGAACGTCTCAACCTCAAAATGGAAATTTGGCCAAAGCCGAGTTCCATGTTCTGCGAAGTTCTCTGCCATCTCGTCAGGGCCACACTATGTTTCACATGATCCCTGCATTTGGTTCGGAACGTGGCACCAAGGCACCAGCTGTTCTGACCCAGTTCGTATTTTGTCGTTGCAGTCCTCCAACGCAGTACCAAGGAAATGTCCAAAGACCAAGAAATGCCCTAAGCGAACCGGCTAACCCCCTGGCGTATCAGTAAGGCATGCCTTCTTTGATAAAAAAGGCAGCTGTTGCATCAACTAAGAGTCATGTATAGAATAGTGGGCAATCTGTTGAACTTCTCTCTCATCTGTTTTTCAGCAGGAAACGAAATATCTGCTCAGGATTCAATGGTAAATTTTGGAGTGCCGCCCGAGGAAACAGCAATTATGCCCGACTTCCCCACACTAAACCCACCCTATCACCAAGACTTTAAATGGCAAAACTTACAAAGATGAAAACCGTAGGTAATCAGAAGTTCGAAAGCGACATCTCAGATCTTAGGTCCTCTCCATCAAAGCAGGATTGCCGCCATGCCCTCCAAATGGAATGCCCTCAGAAAAAAATCTCTCAAGACTCAACTTTACCAGACAGCTTCTTGATACGCATTGCACTGCTATTTTCAAAGACCCCGAGGCCTTTTTGCACCCACGAATCTGAAGGTTGCCTGCAGGTTGGAATGCATACAAAGAAAACGTGTTAGGGTCAGTTCAGATTTCGGACAAAAGGAAACATCAGCGAACAGAATAAGAGCCATAGCACGGAGTAGAAAACAGGACCGGAGACTGGCGCAATAACTGGTCAACCATTGCCAACCTATTTTTAAACTTCTGAAAGCCATTGCACCACCCATGCGTCACTGCTCCAGCATTCTGCTTCTACATGCTGCTTTGGTGTGCCTCCAAGTTTCACTCTCAACCTTGAAGCATGAGTGACAGTCAGTACTCAAGCCATGACTCAGGCTGCGGATCCCATGATTTTAAAGTCAATGCGCCCAAGGCAACTGGTAAAAGGATACAAAACCTATCTGCAGGAGAGGATCAGAGTATATAGTTGAAAAGGATTCAAAGGTCTGAGTGCTTAACACATGAGCTTCTTTGCCTGCATCGGAGCATACGGTATCAACTGGACAACTGAATTGGTGTCTGTGAAAGCACCACACGACTGGGTGGGAGACTCAGGGTTTTGTTTAATGGCAACGGACCCGAACATGATTGGATTTTGGAGGGGCTCCAAAAGGGCTCAAGTTCAATATATACGCGTTCTGAAAAGCAGGGGTGCTGATCAAAAGCATCATTAGGGTAGTGTGTGCTCAGAACTGTCATTGCGAATTCTGTTGTGGAATGCATCTTGCGTGCAAAAACACTCCAGTTACACCTGACAGGAATGGGTCGGTGAAGAGACCCGAAAAAGTATCAGAAGGCTACCATCGCCGTAGCCAGTGTAGTGGAAATCAGAAATTGTTTTGAAAAGATTGAAGCAAGTCCCAGATTGCGGCAACGTACGTATGACAAAGTCAATGAAGTGAAACTGCAAACTGTTCGGCGAGGTGGTTCTTGGGTTGCCCACGTCCCATGTCCAGAAAGTAAGATCTTTGCAGGTACGTCGGGATGATCAGTCCCGATATCCTCCCAACTCAATGAGTAGCTTGATTTTGGCAGTGGACTCATGAGTGGGCCACCGCCCCCTGCTGAAATCAGAAAGCTGAAAAAGAAGCAGCAGTAGTGGTTTTACTTCTGTTCAGAAGTTCCACACACTTGCTCAGAAATGTCTTATCGAATTACTGTTGTGGAGTGCATCGGGCGTGCACAAACAATCCCTTAAAGTCTGACAGGCGAGAGTTGGATGACATGGCAGGAAAACCACTAAAGATGATTTCTTTCTTTGTCCTTGCAA